GTAGAATATACCCCCCCCCCAAAAAAAAAAAAACAAAAACCTCATTCTACTTATTAAAATCCTTATTTATATATATATATATATTATTATTATTATTATTATTATTATTACTTTCCATGCCCCCAACAAGGAGCCATGGGCCTCATCGGCCGGACTCTGGACGCCCTCGAGGCAGAGGTCGTGCTCAGCATTGGAAGCGCCCCGGCCGCGGTGTGCTTTGCGGTTTCGGGATGGGGCTTAGGGTTTAGGGNNATGGGACTTAGTAAGTATGGTTATACCTTCCGTAGCCCTGTTCACGCGCGCTTAGCCCTATGTTTTAGTAGCCTTTCACATCGGTTTTTACGAGGGTTTAGGAATTCAGGGCTTGAACATACCGGCACGCGCAGGGTTTGCGACTTCGAAGGGTTGGGGTGGGGGGGGTGTGTGGGGGGGGAGCTATTTCCGTCAGGTCGACTGCTACCACTCTACTACTACTACTACTACTACTACTACTGCTAGTGTTGCTTGTCTTGCTTCTGCTGCTGCTACAGCTGCTGACGACTACAAGCACTACATAGGACTACTACGATTACTGCTCGTGCTCCTCTTGCTTGTGCTGCTGCTACAGCTGCTGATGGTGCTGCCACTACAGCGACGACAACTAGCACTACGTAGAACTACGACTGCCGTGCACTCGGAGCCCCCCAGGCAACCTCAAACACTAAGCCCTGGCAGCCCTGGCACTGCACTTTGTGGGATGCCGTGCTTGACTCCTGGGCCCAGGCAGAGACTTACTTAGTGCTGCAAGTGCCGCAGTTGATTTTGTGCACGGCGATCTTGAGTCATTGACTTGACGCATGCAAGGACATGTCCCTGCAGACTTTCATATGTGCAGTTTCCCCAAAACGCGTCCCACTGCTGTCACGCCGTCAAAATTTTACACAAAACGCGTCCCACTGCTGTCACGCGGTCCAAAGTTTCCACAAAACAGAAAACCTAAAAAAACAAATACCAAATCCAAAAACATGCTAGAAACACGTCCAAGTCACCAAATGCCACGCCTGCCACGATTTTCGAAGATATCACAAAAATTGAAATCAAAAAACTGCTAAAATTATTGAATTTGCGTCCGCGTCTCTGAGTCAAAACTTCCACTCGCGTGCCTGCTGTATGCACTTCAAATCACGCCAAAATTACAAATTCCTCGAGGTTTTGAGAGTTCACTGCACATATGTGACCTCCTCATGTACTCGAGGGCCTTCGTGTCCTGGGTTTTACGAGGCGAAATGCTCCTCCCAAATTCAGCATTTTTGCAATTCTGTTGATTTCTTCTTGTTCTACCATCGTCGAACATGCAAATTCCTCGAGTTTTTGACACTTCCTCATGGAAGTTCAGTCTATGAACAGAGCCCACAAAATTCAGAATGTTGGCATCTTCATAGCTTCAAAACACTCTTCTTGGCAGCTGCTCCGAGGCCAAAACTCGAGTTTTAACGCGTTTTGACGCAAAAACGTGTGATGTCCACACCCACACAAATCAACATAAATATTGTGTTTCTCGTGTTATTTACAATACAAAACGCTTGTTTGTCCTGCCGCGCGCGCGTGAACAGGGCTTCGGAGCGTTTTAAGTCCCCTAATTGGGGTTATAAGTATGGTTGCCTTAGTTATAACCCTACTTACTAATTCCCATGATCCTTTAAGTATACTGCTGATGCGATAAACCCTGCAATGCCTTAAGGGCCCTAAGCTATGGTACTTATGATTGGTAAATGCAGGATTTGTATCATCAGCCGTAGGTGTTAAGTCCCAGCTGCAAGACAAGAGGGTCTACAGTCGAGGGTGCAAGGGCCAGGGGGAGGGCAGGTCCAGTTCTCCCGGTTTACGCTTTACGGCTCATGCCAGAAGCCCAACATCATGGTTTAGGGACGCCGAACACTTCAGCGCACGCCCTCACTTCAGTCAGTATGGGTACCCGAGAGTTTCTTGTAGACGTTGGTGCTGCTGCTTTGCCAGTCCACCTGCAGACCGTGAAGCAGCTCTCAGGTGGCTCCGGGCTGATTGAGTGGCTTCTCTCGCCGCGATTTCCGGCACTGGGCTCAATGCTGCAGGAGCATGTAAAGCATTTGTATTGATTCTGTTAGTTCGAGTTTCTTCAATGACTATTACATCTTTGCGTTGCCGGTATGTACTTCTGCTAGCAAGGCCTCAACCGAGGCTGGACTTGTGTGTGTGTGTGTGAAAGTCCTGTCTCTAAGGATCTAGAACTAACAAATGCAGGGGGCATGGCGGTCACATCCTAGCCATGCCAACGAAGCTATGGATGTTGACTGGAAGGGTTCACAGACGTGTGAACCTGTACATGCAAAGAGTTGCTCATGGGTCACAGGTGTGGCAGCTTGGGGACTCAATGATGATTGTTTAATTCGCAAGAGTATGACGAAAGGGAGACAATGTAATCGACTAGCACAAACGGCATCCATCTAGGTAAGGATGACTGGTCTGCAAGCATGTGTATGTGTGTGTGTGTGTGTGTTTGTCTGTGTGTGTGCATATTTGTATGCATATATATATATATATATATAGACATATATACATATATAATACATATATATATAGAGAGAGAGAGAGAGCGCAACCCTAAGGTACACCAGTCGAAAGTACACCTGAACCAAACCTTGACAGCAGCATCCTCATTTTCGGTAGCCTTTTACGAGGAGTGTCGAAGTTCAAGAGCCCACCCCATACCCCCACCCATATATAAAATCGTGACAAGATCCCATACGGATTAGTTCACGCTTGTAAACAAGCCCCCCCCCCCCCGCCCCAACTTGAAGAACACCCCACCCTCCCCGTTAAGGTCGTCTCGGTGGATTTCTATTACCAGCCAGGCCCTGCCGGTGCCCTGCATGAAAGTCATGTGGCTGGGGGAGTTTAGGATTTGTTGATTGTGGGCTTTCACGTCTCGAGCTTTTGGGTGCGGCGGGGTGTTCGGGACCTTTTGGATTTCACTGGCTTTCCGAGTTGTCTGTGCAGGGTGACTTCTGTCAGTGTTTGCATATGCTGCTTGTGCCCGGTATCAGCTGCTTGTCACAATCTAAACATGATTCTCATCGCTTTAAATTGTAGTGTCATGCTTGTGCCACTTCTCTCCGCATTCGTCCGAGCTATTGCTGAAAAGCAGATGCGGGATCGCTGGTCATGAGATCAGGTGGCGTGGATCCATGGGTCTTGCCACCTCTTCATGACGAGGTCAGGCGCACCTTGGATGAGTTGTGTTGCACAGTCTTGGGGGAAAGTTGGTGCTGCCGCGTCCTGCTCCCTCCGAACATCGCGCAGCCGCAGGGTTGGGGGGGATGAAGTTTAAAATTTGTGCTCGGGATTTGTGCTGGGAAGCGGGTGGATTCTGTTGAACTTGCTAGCTGCTACAGCTGCATGCCAAAATGTCGAAACCACCGACATGATGGCAGGTGATAAAATGTTGCATCTGTTTGCCAATCCCCAAAAGCACGTCGGCCATAGCAGGTTTTTGTGCAAGTATCCTAAGAACTCCTCGTGAGGTTCGTGGCAAGCAGACGGATCCGGCAGGATCGCCTTTGCTACCTGCCATTCTTTGATGTTGGAAGGTTTGTAGGGTGCAGGTTGAGGTTGATGATACTCATGGCTGAAAGTCGCGGGATGGGCCCGATGTTGTCTGCCTGGACGTTGCCAAAACCTCAGAAAGAGGATCTTTTCATCGATCAAGTCTGATCGAGGGTTTTAAGTAATCCAGCACCTTAAGCTCTCGTGAATTCCTGTCTGGCGGTGCCGAGAGTGAAAGTCGAAAGCCTACCTAGACCTTCCCATCTACCCTCCTCTATTGGACCCTAGCTGCCCACAATTTGGACCAGTTACACCGTTTTCGACGGTACAAGCAGGGTCCTGGTAAATACAGCCCCGAAGCCACAGACTTGAACCTCAGGTGAGCCCTGGCGACGAGCCTTGGGATGAGAACATATCCAGAGAGTGCCTTTAATAATGCTGCAGTGCAACCCTATTGCCCTAAAAAATGTAGTCTCGCAGACCCTGAAACCTTCTTTTAAACAGAGGTTCAGGTTTAGCTGTTCATAGGCCACACGAAGATGGGCATTTGGATCATCATGGTCAGCGGATCTTTAGTCCGTGAGAGCGGGCAAACTGGTGGGAATGGGGAAAGGCCGGAAACTCATATATATATATATATGTGTGTGTGTGTGTGTATATATATATATATAGATATAGGGTAATTTTGGCGCGCAGCCTGAATGCCCGAGCCGATGCTGGCGTAGCAGCATTCTGTGAAGCTTATCTGCCCGAGTTCATCAAAGCCAAGAGGGCTAAATCCTCAAACCATGAGCCCGAAGCCTGGACATGATCAACACCCCTAGACCCTAAAGCCGAAACGATCCTCAACCCCACAACCTGGAGTCCCGGAAGTGCGCTTGATAGCCCAAAAACTTAGCAGCATCTTGAATTTTTATCAGATGATGAAAAGGATGCAGATCAAAAGCGTTATCATGGAAAAGGGTGCAAGTGCCACCCCCCAGTTCTTGATTACTGAGGACTGATTCAACAAGCCGACTATATGTAGACGGCAAGTTCGAAACCCCAGCCCAAACAAGCTAAATCTGAGCGTCACTGAACCAAGGACCCCGCTCTCGCGGCTGCCCTTGGCAGCCATCGCACCGTAGCTCTGTTCGTTTGGCCTCAGTCCGGGTGCCAAGGTTAGCCAAGGGACCTCACGGCATAGAGTATTTGTCCTACGTGGTACCACACTTATGTAACCTGACCTATGAATTCGAACTGGCCACCTACAGCGACGAGCAGTTCCAGGAAAAACCGGTAGGGTTGCCGGTTTGGGGGTTTCTTGGGGTTTGGGGTCGGGTGCGAGGTCCAGATTCAGCAGATGCGCAGAAAGTGGTAACATCGTGACCACATATTTGCAGACCGTCTTCTAGGGTTGAAACGTACAAACATCATGTCCGAGTTTGCCGTATCCACCATGTCCTTTCCCTAACTTCCCAGGTACCCACTACAGGGTATTAGAGTTCCTAGGGCCCTATATAGTAGGTACCTGGAGGGTTAGGGTTTTCAAAGTCCAGAGGCTGGATCTTGCAGTGGTCGGCCACTATGCCAGCATAGCTGGCAGCCAGCTCCGTGGAATGATCTTCGTGGTGGGCGATAATTGCAGCTCGGCACCCGATATTTGGTGAAACAAGGCAAGGCCATCAACTTCAAAAAAGGGCTTACTTTTTAGGGTTTAGGGAGTTTAGGGTTTAGGGAATTTAGAGTTAGGCACAGAAGCAGCGAGAGTTGCACGAACCGCCCGTCGCACTTGCAAATTTTAGTATCAGACTCATCAGACCACCTGTTGGAAACACAGCGAGCATATTTACAGGTTCAGCCACTACCTGTTTTTCCAACCTGTTTCCATGGAAGAACAATGCACCGGGCTTCTGAGAAATACCGGCCGCTGCCGTTGAAAACAGCATGTAGAGCTACAGTACCTGGGCCCTGGGGGCTGAGCTATCCGAAGCAGCAGAGCTGGGATGTCCTGGCCGTAAAGAGAACGATGCAACGGTCGTTGTCATCCTCGTAGGCAAGTAGGCAAAGACAGAAGTAGCAATCGTAGTAGTAGTCGTAGACAGCTGCTCCTGCTCGCACTTCGTCTGACGACGCTGACGACAAAGGGAACCACGACCTCGGCGACAGGGCGACTGACCGACTGCTACGACGACCACGACTCGACTACGAAAACGAGCGTTACAACCTCTACTAGTGCCGGCCTTCCCCGATCATGATGCTTGGTAAAGGAATATGTTATGGTGTTAGGTAGCAGCAATGAGGCTACGGTCACCTTTTAAGCAGTCGAAGAGAGCCAGATCGTCGAGGTGCCCCCGCGCCGTCCGCCGCTGCCACCGCCTTCGGCTGCACCATCGTGGGGCCAGAGGAGGTTGGCGGTCTGGTCGGTCTGGCTGTTTCTTCGTTTCGTTTGCTTGCAGTCTTTGTGAAGTAAATACTGCGAGGGAATGCCGCAGCGGCTTTAGCTGCACAGCTGTCTGCGTGTGAGACTCCACGTGACTGCTGCTCTCGCAGGTTCCCTGCCTCACGCAGCCCTGTGAGCTGTGGAGCTTCGCGATGTCCTGCGAAGAAAATAGGGTTTGCGTGCGGCTCCAATTACACACAGGGACTGAAGACCCGTAATTTAAGGAGTTATTGCACACGGCGTCGCAGCGTTTGCATTTCATAGAAGTGCTTGTCATAAGCGGTCCTGAATTCCGTCCGATTTGAGTACAAGGACTCCAGACTCTTGATCCTAACTTATCAACTTATAAGAGGGTGGAGGCTTTCGATGTTCTCAAAACTGTATCACTGAAACCCCTGGGCAGATACGAGCTTGAGACCATCATGGAATATCCTCGCACTGCATGCCACTTTGCCTCAAAACAAAACAGCGGTCAATAGCAAACCGCAGAACGGCAGCTACCGCCAGTCGCAATGGTGAACTCCAGGAGGCGGCTGCTGTTGTTGGTGTTCTCATCTGCCTTCGTTTGGCGGGTGAGCCTGCCTGCACCCAGCTTTGTGCCCCAACCACCAGGAGCACTCGCGACCAGGGCGCAAACATCGACCTCCAAGGTTTCTCGCCAGTTTTTCGGTGAGTCGCAGAGTTCGCAGCCTGCTGTTGTCATCAAAGAGGACTATACCCTGGCGGCCGTTTTTTCTGCAGTGGGCGTAGCGCTTTGCACACTGCCATACCTGGGGTTTGGGCTCGGCGCACTCATTACTGTGTTGGGCATCCTCTTTTTCGTCCAGGCAGGCAGAGTCCGCTTTGTGTTTGACAATGAGGCATTCGAGCTGCGCACCCTCGGTAATGCAGAAGAGTTAGAGAAGCCCGGAGAAAACGTCGTCGTGGGTGGCCAGAATCGCTGGAAATATTCAAGTTTCGTCAACTGGGAGTTCTTTCCGAAGGGATTGGTGGAGAAGGGCTTGCCCCCCATCCTGGTCTACTTCAAGGAGACTGAGACGCCAGAGACGGAATGGAGCACAGGTCCTGGAGCAGCCGCGAACTCACCAGAGGCTCTCGAGAAGGGGGCTGTGCCGGGCATGGTACACTTCTTTCCTTGCATCTGTGATGCTCAGCAAATCAAAGCCGAGTTCGAGCGCAGAGGTTGTAGGAAGCTGTAGACCGAAAGGAGGAGAATATACGAGGCACGAGAGGCCTCACTTTGTCTCACGCCGACCAACACGTGATAGACCTCGCCTGGCTTGTCCGAGTTGTGAGAATTTACATGCAAACCCCCCGCAGCACCACGTCACTACTTCAAGAGATGTCCTATTCGCAGTGAGGATGGGGCTTTGAAGCTTTGAAGCCCCTAAAGCCTGAAGGCAGCAACGCAATGTATCACCTCCAGCCTCTAGCGATCCTACTGTTGATGTTATTAACCCTGCATTACATTAAGGACCCTAAACTATGTGAATTACGGTATACTCATTTTTGTGGGCAATTGCAGGATTTGTATCATCAACCGTAATTCCGGCTGTCAGGGTCAAGGTTTCGGGGCGTAGAGTGGAGTTTGGGTAGGCAGGGATCCACTTCTTCATATCTGCAGTCTACAGCTGCAAGGCTACAGAGGTCAAGCTTAAAGCTGCCTCCCTTGCGAGGTTTAGGGTATTTTTGGGGTTTTCTTCTTAGACATAGGACGCTCAGGGCACATTTGCCCGCAAGCTTGTGGTGTAGGCGGCATATGGCGGCATGCTTCAAGCAAGTTGTTCGCATGGTGACTGTCGGGCTTTTATCACTTGGATCAGAAGCATCCAGACACCTACGAACATGCTGGCAGGCACGATAAGCTTGATGAGAGGATGTGTAAGTCACTTGCTGAATTGTAGCTTGATCCTCTTTGCTGGTATGTTTCTTTTTGAGGGGGTGGAAGGGGCTAGCCAAGTAGCCTGAATTTCCTTAATCTCCCGGGAGGCTCCAGACATAATGTCCAAGCCTTCTTCCGCGACGCCTGGGTCTCAGAGTACGGCACACACGAACCATAAACCCTGCTCACTGCAGCGAGGTCAGCTACAATAAGGAAGTACTGTGTCAAGTCAAATTAGTTTCTCCATAGGCATCAACAACAATACCAGCGGACCAACAACGACACCAACCCAACCACAGCGGCAACAGCAGCAACAACAACAACAACTCCAACAACTCCAGCAACTCCAGCAACAGCAGCAGCACCGCCCGAAACATGAACAACAACGGCGCTCCAAACCACAAACTTAACTCCTACACGGGCTTAGGGTTTAGGGCTTAGAAACCTAAACCCTAAACCCCTAAACCCTAAACCCTAAACCGTTATAGGGTTTAGGGCTTAGGGGGAACCCGAACCACCTCAAGGCGCCGGCGCCCTGCCGGGCCGCCCTCTGGCGCAGGGGTTCCGGAGAAGGCGTCGTCTTGGTCTGGAGAGTGAGGATATCTCGCTATGTATGTAAAAATGAGTACATAAATAGATACATATAGGTTAAAAGTAAATTAATGAATATATACATATATTTATATCTTCATTTATTTACTTATTTGTTTATATATGTATGTATACATATATATATATATGTATGTATATATATATATATATATATTTGTGTATGTGATTGTGCGTGTTTGCGTGTGTTACTACACACATACATACATACATACATACATACATACATACATACATACATATATACATACATATATATATATATATGTATATGTGTGTGTGTATATATGTATATGTACATATGCATTTATATGTATATATATATATATATGTCCTGCAGGAGTTTATGCATGTTTAGTTGACGGGGTTTCAGGATCTAGGATCTTATGGGATCTTCTAAGCCTAGGGTACTCTGAGCAGTTGGGCTTGATTACGAGGAAGTTATTAGGGCCCTTATATTGCCATTTTGTAGTTGCGCCAGGTCAGTCGGGAGCCTCAGCGTCTATACTGAAACTTTGGGTGTAGCTGCTTGTAGTATAGTAGCACTACCTGGCATGAGGAGAACCACGTAGGTAGTCATAGTCGAGCGGGAGGGAAGAAGAATGCTGAATACAATCTGGCTCAGCATGAGTTGCAAAGAGGTCTCAGTCGCGAGCACAAGACGAACTTACCCGAGGCCAAAAGCACGGCTATTCCTGATATTATTCCTGAGAACACCGCCACCAGCATCACGGTATTCCCGAGCCTGATTTCCCCGAATTTCAAGCGAAATGTTGGGCAAAGCACTAAATCCTAAAGCCGCAAGGCTCTTTAACAAAAGTCGCAAAGCTCTGAATCCTAAATCTTGAACCTTGCAGTCGCAGGGGGAGGAGACCCGAGATCCCTTGGATAAAGAGGACAACGACGACGTCGATGTTCGCCCGAGGCATATGCAAAGTTGGTGTTTAGTGAAAAGGGCCATTGGGGTAGCTTTGAGTAAAGAGATCGAACATCCAAGAAGGTTTAGCGTTCAGCAAGCATGGTAGGGTTACAAGTTGGGAGGTGGGTTAGGAAAGCTGCCTTAAGCCGAAACCCCCTCAAACCCGAAACCCTAAAGCCGAAATCCAGTGAAGATCGCGATGACACGTTTCGAGCTTTGTAGTCCGGAGGAGAGGGCTAATGCGACAGCTGAGTGACGTTGGGAGTTTGAATTAGGTTTTTGGTTGAGTTTCTGGGCTGGTGAATATGCCTACCCTTGGCCAATGTGCTATCGTCGCCGTACTTGGAACCTCGCCAGGCTTGTCCCAGTTGTGAGTGCTGAAAGCCGAAATCCCCTCACGCTCTCAAGCCGCCGCCCCGAAGTCCTAGCACCGAAACCCCCAACCCCAAACTTCCTCTAGAAGCCCAGTGCCCTGTGAAATGGTGCCTTACCTGGTAGTAGAGTATTATAAAGGTTAAAACTTTTCTGGGATACTATGTTCCTTATATATTCCCCAAGTTTAACCTTTAGGTTCTCCAACATACTGGCAAGTACAAGTAGGTTTATATACCAACCACAGCTACCCAGCTAGCTAGTGCAGAGGTAGATGAAATTCTGTATGGGGCTCTGCACTCTAAACCCTAAGCACTCAACCGACGAAATCCCTGCAGTGCGACACAGTCAGCTGGGCGGGTGGGAAAAAACGCGAAACCGTTTAACCCTAAACTCCACTCTAAGAACTGTAAACCCCCCCACATCAAAGCTCCCAGCTTCGGTCCTCTTCTGGATCCTCCGAGTGCCTTCATACTGATTCGAATCATTTCGAAACTTGAACTTTGGTGAAACAAAACCCTGAACCCCTAAACCCCCTCTCCTAAATGCCCAACCGTAGGCAGGCTCGAGGAAGCCAGGGTCACCGCAAGGAATCTATTATAAGAGTGCAAGAGTTCTACAAATATTTCGGGTCCCAGCTCTTTGCAATCCTCAACCCTGCAGGCACCCGAGAGCCCACTTCTCTGGCGGCGTGAAGCGGCAGCCCCGGGCATGACTTTTGAGCTGCCAATCTCCAAAGAAAATGCTTCCGGATTTCAACACCTCGCTCAATGTCTTAAATTTGGAATCAAGATGAACAAAGGTCGATCAGCTGCTGTGCTCAAATCTTAAGGCTGATGTAAGTCAATGCTGTTCCCGAGAGTGCTGCGGAAGGGGGAGTGGGGTTCCACAAGGCGTGGGACCTTCCGTGTCGAGCAGAGGATTCTTGTGCGGCAAAGCTTGACAGGGTATGATCAGAGAGAGACAGAGAGGGCTATGGTTTAGGATTCCAGGGTGCGCAGGCCTACTTAAAACTGGTCATCACTTAGTTAGGGGACTCTCAAACGGAATGGCCATTGAAAGAAGAGAACTGAGTAGTCAGCAGTTCTCGCGCGATTGTTCGGGTCCCTAGAAGAAGGGGGGGCAGAGGAGGGGAGGGCGGGAGGGTGGAACAGTAGATGCTGACGTGTGTAGATGCGGCTGTATATGTATATGCAACTATCGAAATTCATCCGAGAGCACGAGTGGGCGAGCGGAGCTTCCCAAAGCCCGGACAATCCAGAACAGCGTTTTGGTCCTATTTTTGCAGAAGCACTCCTAATAAGTCAACGCGTTGACCTCTGCAAGTGCTTCAGGAATGCCGGCTTGGAGACGCTTCCTGAGGAGCCGAGCAAATCAGCAGCACACGCGTTGGTTAGAGGTTTGGGTTTCGAAAATAGGGTTTCAAACCCTAAATCCTAAACCCTAACCCCTAACCTTTGGGCTTGTCGATGCCAGAGCGCTTCTTGCAGGATCCAACATGAGGCCCCGAAGAGCAGAGTCCAAAAGCTCAGCGTTTCGATTCGCTTCTGAGGGTTTAGGGTTTAGGGGTTCTCATTCGGGGCTAGCAAGTAGGTAGAAGCCCCAGTGCTTTTATGTCAAACTTGAGGCCGGCCGGAGACCCTCAGCCTGAACTCAGCGACATGTGTCAAGCTTGCCCAAGAAGTACACCAAAACATAGTTCGAATAGAAACTGCAATGTTTAGGGTTTAGGGTTTAAAGGTTAGGGGCGGATGTTACCATTCTGATGCTTTAGCGCAATAGTTGGAATCAGAATACGGACCATGAGGGAATATATTTATTCGACAACCCTGCGCTAGAGCCATAAGGGAACCTTACTTAAACGGAACATCCCTCGGCGGTTTAGGGTTTAGGGGGCCCGAACTGGATGAGTCGTGTTGGTTTTAAACCCTGAGGTTCTGTAATGTAGGGACCTAAATACTTACCTAAATTATGTTGGTGGCTCCTTTTTTAAAGAAACATAGTATAATGGGCCCCAAAACCCTATTCTAATTATTCAGGCCCTTATATTACCCCAAACCTGGGCTGTCTGGGAATCGCAGGAGGGCGAGGCGTCCGACGACTCCCCAGCGCGGGGTGTGGCAGCAGAGGACAGAACGAACTGAGAGAAGATTTCGTGTCTCGGTCCTAGGATTGCCCGGCCTCTACATGGTCGGTTGTCATAGTACCTTCACGCATTACGGTGCAATACAGTGTGCTTCTTTGAAAGACCCTGCTTGCAAAGGTAGCTTGTATGCTAGAAGCAAGCCATTGTACCGTGGTAGCTGTACCTCGTCTTTCTGACGCGACTTGCAGCTAAGGTCCCAGTTTGGGCACCTGAGTTTAGGAAGAGTAGCCCACTACAGCGACAACTGGGCTTCTAGGACACAGCTACGAAAGGACCTTCAACAAGCCCTTCTGGCTATGCCCCCATACACATAGGGTAATTCTGCTGCGACTCTCACCAAAAATCCTGGATTATGGCTACCCATGCCCCTTCAAATAGAGACAGTGGAGCAGGACGGCGAGGATGGCCCTAGGTGCGCCCAGCTGCAGCCCTTTGCATTTCTGCTTGGGGGCCCCGAACTTCGGGTCTGAAATCGGGGGTTTAGGGTTTCGGTTTTTAATATAGGCGCCTATGTAATTGCAAAAATATTTTGGGGGTTCCTGAAGATATTATGGTATGATGTCCCCCAAAACCCTGACGCCCCTATCCTATCCAGAGCTGAATTATAGGGAGTTTCAGGATTTCTGTACTAGCAGCATTGCGGGGCCTTTTGGGAGTCGGGTAAAGGAGTTCTGCACACTCTTCCAATCATAAAAGGCCCGTGATGGAGCCGGGAGCCGAAAAAGCATCGGAGGTGCGAAAGTGGCCTAAGACCGCGAAGCTCCAAAATTCCAAACTGTAGCCGTGAAGCTTGAGCAAACCTTGCGGTACCGAAGCGTGCCGCAACCTACATTTTGGCAGTGTCCCTAACTAGGCTTGGAGGCTTCACTGCGCAAACTGCCCATCACAATCCCTCTGTGCCGTGCAGGATATCCTTAGTGAAGTGGTACTAGGCCTAGGCTTTCTGGATACTAAAGCCGCCCACATCAACATCAGCCGGTTGTGTGAGCCCTTCTTAAGCTCTCTTTCAACTGCAGTGCAAAATGCCCCGAAACCATGTATGATGAATTCCCCTATGCTGGGGCAATGGAGCTGTTGGCAAACTTAGTGTTTTTGCGGAAGTTGGTGGAGGAGCCTGTGCGACCCCGTGGCCGTTCTGGCTGATAGCTTCAGACTAATCATGGAAGAAGGCCAATGGTGGTGCCTATTTTGGTAGAAGGGAGCACAAGCGAGCAGGCTTTCCTCAACCTTATACCCTAAACTCTCTAATCTCTAAACTACGCTCAACCCTACCCAAGACCCTGAATGTACCGTAGCCTCTGCGGCTTCAGATGTGAAGCTCTTTTGCAGAACCCAAGCCCACGTCCCAAACCACAACCCCACCCAGACACGACCAGACCATGCAGCATAACAAAGGGGCCTCAATAATTACCAACATAATTTGGTGGGTTCCTGATAGTATGATTATACTATAAAGGACCCCAAAACCCTACTGGCATTCTAATTATTAAGGCCCCTACATTATGTGATCTGAACTACTGGCCCGTTTTAGTGGCATCCTCGCTAAGAGCGACTCCCATTAACTTAGAAACTACCGATGGACACTTTTGTGCCGCTGGCTACCTGTGCAATACAGTCCGTGGCCACAGCACTTTGGCAGAAACTTCCGGCAGAGTTACTATCGCCTTTGATGTTATTGAAGTATTATTGTCATTATTACTCTTCCTATTATCTTTTTCTGATTATTGTTCTTATTGTTATCATTATTGTTGCAGGGAAGCCTTGGCTTCGGGCGCGTCATTCAGGTCATTTGTTGTATGAGGCGTTCTTATCTTTGAGGCTGCCGTCTAATGCCATGCGAAACTGCGTGATCGTCGACGTGCTACCAAGGCGTGTGCATATCTATCTATCTATATATATATATATACATATACACACACACACACACACATATATATATATATATGTGTGTGTGTGTGTGTATGTATATATATATACACGCGTGTACATGTCAAAATATCCCCACACACGTACATATTATACACATACATACACACATACATGCATACATACATGCTTACATACGCACACACACACACATATATATATATATAGCCATGCGCACACACAGACACACATGCGCATGTGTATGTGTTTCCATATTTAGGTACACGTATGGACGGGTTTATTTGTAGGCGTATATGCATGTGTAGCCAGGTATCAAGCAATTGTTTGTTTGCGTGTTTGCCTGTCTGTATGTACATATGGGTGGATTCATTGAGAGATGGATGGTCGAATGTATTGAGGAGTGGTGTGTGTGCGTGTGTAGCTGTGTCTGTCCGTAGACTGTTCAAAACTATGTATTTATATATACATATGTGCATACATATGCACCTGCATATATACACAGTGCACACATGTCGGTTTAGAAAGTCAGGGATTGCAACTATAACTAACATCCACCCCACAAGCAGGAGACGGGACGCTAAGGAGGCATCAGGAACATGACACTCCCAGCTCTCAGAAACCGCAGATATGCGCTCCTTAACTATCGAGATGTTGTAGAATTTAAGCCTGTGGGGGCTTATACCATGCCCATGAGCCGTTAAGTGAACCCTTCATCCGTTTTCATAGCGACATTTTCTTGTGCTCGGGCAAAGTCTATCCGCTGTCCCATGCTGATTGCTGAGGTCGCTACTTGCTCGGCAGTGGGCGTGCATGCCCGTCGTCAAGGACGCACGGAATTGGACATTGCATGCAGCCGGCTGCTAAATGCGTAGGCGTTCCAGGATTCCACAGAAGCTGAGGTCGCTTACACAGGTAGAATGTCTCCTCACGGCCTACAGCAAGAAGGTACAGTGTGCATCTTTCAAGCCACGTCATAGACATGTCTCCTTCTGGCTCTTAACTGAGTGTCCAGAATTCAGAAGAACCCGCTTACAGTCATCTTCGGACCAAGGCCCGCTCAGTGCTTTGGTTTCAACCGCCGAAGTCAAGTGCAATTAAAACTTCAAGTGCTACCTGTCCAGTGCTGATTCCACGCGTTTCTACAGGTGCCCCTTTGACAACAGCAACTTCAGGAACACATGTGGGTAAACCTGTAAGCAGAGCATATCTGTTGCGATGTTCTGGTACGCTTCCTTGTTGATCACGCTCGTCCTGGCCGTATAGGTCCTAGCCAGGCGTGCGGAATTTGAACATGACCCCGAACAAACAAGCCTGAACCCTGAGAACCCCCTGATTCCCGAAAAGATGCCCTCAACTGCTGGCGGAGGACTCCTCCAGGATTCCAACGAGAAATTTTTGGACAAGTGCCCAGCCAGCGAAGATTTGAAAGGTTGTTGTCAGGCCAGGGTTTTATGAGGGGTTTGGCGGCTGGAATAAACATTGTTTACGCCGCTAGCGAAGGCGTGGACGTTGTGCTCCCGCACTGGGAACCTCCATCTTGCTAGTGATCGTGTGCAACGTGTCGATGTGGGTGCCTGGGTTTTCGGGTTTAGCAACTTAGGCTTGACGGCTCAAATTCCAGGGGGGGAGAGGGAGGGGGCAATTTAGCAATACTAAGGGACCCGGGAGTGGCAATAGGCCTGGATGCAACAAAGGAATCGCTTTGCGAATCCTACCTTCAACCTGAAAACACAACCCTGAAGCACAAAATCCTGCCTAGAGCTACGGCCAACCCTACCTTAAACGATCAGAACATGCTCTGTTGTTGTAGGGTCCCTATCATCTCGATGTTCGGGTTTAGACGAAGAACCTACAGAAAACTACGTTGCCTTCGCCTGGCTTGTCCGAGTGTGAGCGAAAAAGCTCAACCCCTAAACCCTTTTTTTCTAAACCCTAAACCCCTAATCCCCTAAACCCTAGACCTCTAAACCCTAAACCCCTAATCCTCTAAACCCTAGACCCCTAAACCCTAAACCCCTAAACCCCTAACTCGCCTGGATTGTCCGAGAGTGAGCGCCGAAACCCCTAACCCCTAAACCTTTGCTGGGAGCCTCCGAGGTTCGTTTCCTCAGTGTGCCTGCCGTGCCTCATTTTGCGGAAAGCCTGCAGCTGAGCTTCTGGTTGGCTATAGCAATATAATGGTAAGGTGTCTACAAAAGGGGTTCCGTGTTTTTTTTTGGGGGGGGGAGGGGGGTTGGGTTCAAGTTTTTGATGGTTTGAGGGGTTTCGGGCTCCGGAGGCAGAGTTTTGGGGCTTGGAGGTTCCAGGGTAAGGTCTCCTGAAAGCAAGATTCAATACAGGGGCCACACCATCTTGCGCGGTACATAGAAGCCTCAGAAACCAGCGTCGAAGCTGTTTTCTCCGATCCTTGAATTGCTTGAGCTTAGCCACTGGATGGCTCATTTTTCCGTCCCGAAGCTCTCCATTAAATGCTGGCCGGCAGAGGCTCCGCCTCTCATAAGTCCGGCGCAGCTCTGGAGCGTTTGGCCCTTGATCCGTGGCAGCATTCATGGCATGGCCGTAACATGGTGACAGCATCGGCATATTTCTGCATGCCCGCAAAGGCTTCGTTTCGTCCTTTCGGTGGGTCCTCAGTCGCCAGCTCCATTTTGCTGTGGGTTTGTCGAGCGAAGAAGGCAGAAGAACATGTCTCTGGAAGGAGCTTTTCCCGGCCGACCTTAACACCCAAAGCACCCTAAGCCCCCGAACCTTTTCGGACTCAAAGATTCCAGCTCCTCCGTCTGGGATCTAGTTGCATCGTCACTGGAGAAGGCTTGGCATGCCTCGTCCCCTGTACCTACCTGTCGCTGTGGCTAGCTTTGTCGAGTCTATGCTTTTGGAACCTGGCCCTACTCGACAGGAGTAAGGGTACTGAGCCCAGCACCCGATGAGAATGCAGGTCTTCCAGGGTCATTCAAATCAACACCACCTAAAGCTTCTGCGAACCCTGAGCCCTGCAGCACTCCCGACATGCTCTTACTCTAGCCAGTGAAATCGATGGACCAAGGCTGGTTGCGTGCATTTGTGTGGTCTTGCTTCCAAGCCGCAGACACTGCCGAAGTTTCTGGCCCTGAGTCCCTGAACCCTAAACCCTTAGGACCCAAGCGTAACATGCAAGTCCTGGGGTGCGAGATTTAGGCTTAGGGGGTTCAGCTTGAAGGCTTTGTCAGTAGAAGATAGTATAAGAAAACATAGGATCTCTAGTGCTCTTGGGTTTTTTTATACAACTCCAAGGGGTTATACGTACAAATAGTCTTGTTATTATGGTTCTGACGGAGGTTATAAGGGATAGGGCACTGAATTGCGGTCGTCGCTGACAAGTGTTCGATGAAAACCCTTCCCGCAAACAACGCAGTGTAGGTTGCTTTCGTGCATGGGTATGTATGTGTGTATATGTCTGCAAATGTATGTGCACACAGCAGTCGTCACATGAGGGCGCACACACGCAACTGCACAAACACGTGTGTGTGTGTGTGTCAGTAGAGGATGAAGAGGAATGATGATGATGAGGATGATGAGGATGATGATGGTGACGGCTGCGGCCCTTAGGGTGGCTGGAGAGCCCCTAGGCCCCAGGGTCACATGAGAGCTGTCTTGGGTTTTGATTTGGTGTTGCAGGGCATTCAGTGTTCGTCTAGCGCCCTCTGGAAGTAGTCAGAATGTTACTTTCTTTCGCGCCGGGGATTTACGGTTGGGAGTTTGCAACGTAGAGCTTGAGGGTATAAGCCTTGTGCGAGAGTGAGTGCCGAAACCAAGCCCTAAATTAGTTCCTCAATGCCCAACCTCTAAACTTTTTGGGTTCTTAAAATAATCTCAATAGTACTCTGAAAGTTTAACCTTTTCTTTCCCTGGCTTATGGGGGGAAGTAAGAAAAACACTGAAGGTTGAAAGCTCTGAGGTTTGGTCTCTTCGCCGGGAAGCTGGCAGCCAAAGCCGTTGGGGCGGGCAGCGCGCCTGGTGGAAAGGATTGTAACAAGTTGAACTTCTAGGGAAGTGAGACTCCGGGCGAAGTGGAAGGCCTGTTGCAAAAAAGTGGAATTGAGAGGCTTTGTGGATTTGTAAAAAAAGTTCTTTGTTTTGCAGAGCTGTTATCGGCTTTGCGGTGACCTCATCGGTTGCGCAGGGGTTTGTTACAAGCGCCTGTAGGGTGTGTAAGATGTTTCTGCATGCTTCCGATGCTTCGGGGTAGTTGTAGGGATTGTAGGGTCTTCAGTTTACCCTATGTTAAACTCAAGGGGCGGGTGTATAGATTATGGAAGCCTAGGAAGTAGGATGTGTATGGTAATGGTCCCGTTGAAAAGCAGCTCCGAAATTTGAGAAACACCGACGAGCCAAACCCTCAAACCTCCAAACACGCCAGAGCCTGGTGGGTTGCGAGTTCAGCACTCAGGCCCCAAGCAGTTCATCCAGGATCGGTTTTTAACCGGCTAGCCCGGCCCTGCCTGCATATACCGTTTCCCTCAGGATCACAACTGAAAATAGCACTGGGACTAGCGATAGGTAACCATGAGGAAAGCATTCCAAACGAACCCTTCATGATTCCGTTTATCATGGGAATCATCGTGACCTTTCTTCTACCAGACGTGAAGGAAATCATGGTGACAGCAGCGTCGATGAGCCAGCATCGAGATCATTACCGGCTGCATGCCATGACCTCCCTTGGGGCCTGCAATACCTCTGCCTCCGGTACATAGTCATCGGATGTTGCCGGAAAAGAGCCAAATAAAGCCCTTACATTAGAGCCAGGCCAAGACTTCGACTTAAAATTTGGGAGGGGAAGCCGACACCCTAAACCCCAAACCCTACGTCACCAGGCAACTACACTGGTCTGCTGATGACCGCAGTGGCCTTTCCAAACTCTTTCTCGGTGGAGCCGCCGTGACTTGAAACCGCCATTACAACGTTCCGTCACAACATATCACAACTAGTTGACTACTTCAAGCTGCTTTTGTTGTCCCGCTTGTCTTTGGCGAACTGCCCAGAGCTTTAATCCTCTGCAATCTTAAGTTATATCTGGAGGTTACAAAACTGAAAAAGCCGTTTGGCTCCGTCAGAATCTGCAGGTGCCGATACTGGCCCAATCAAACTCAAGCGAGATATCAGCATCGCCTGCGGGCACTGTTGTTTTTGTATCGTGTTCCGCGCCTTGCTGGAGCTTGGACTCTTGAGGCGGTGTGCCCAGAAGGGCTACCCTGATTTCTGATTCTGCAAAGAAGTGGATGTATGTACGTATGTATGCAACCTGGGTATCAGGACCTCTGTCATAAGGACGCAAAAAGTACCATTCAACAGGAAAAGGACAAACCCAAAGCACGAATACCCTAGACCCTCTCGAGCCTTATCACAGGTGTCCTTGAGGCGAGACCTGTCAACAGCCATCGAGTGCGGTCTCCCTGCCAGGTCCCCATGACCTTGCTACTCAGCATCGGCCCGCATCAGGCTCTCCTAGATGAGGCCACTTGGGGGGTTCGTGGGTTTAGAGTTTAGAGTTTTGGGGTTTAGGTGCCCGCACTAGGAGTTCTTGTGTCAGCAACCCTTAAGACGGCTTCCAGGGCAAAAGCGCGTCGGGCTCAGAACTTGGGGCTGACAGTGTCAATATTGATTTGAGCTGAGGATGTTGGATGTTTTTGCCAAAGCCCGCAGATCCTTTGTGTTTTCGGGATTTTGAGTTTACGCTCTGTGTGTTTCGGGGGTCGGAATAGTTGGCCCTACTGTGCTTTTTATGGAATACAGAACCCAAAACCCTGATCTGATTATTCGGACCCTTGTAACCCTAAACCCTTGTAGAGCCCTTTGCAGGAAACCTTTTAAATGCACCCTGTCTTCAAGAGCACATGACTACCAGAGCTGCACCGCGCCAGGGCGCACCATATTATTTTTCAAGCACTCTTCTACTTATCAAGGCCCCTTTTGCTGATTCCCTATAGTAGCCCTGTTCTGGTCGAGCCCTGATATAGAACCGCTTTCAAGAAGCCCTTAAACCCTAAACCCTACCTTTTTGGGGCCTAAACCCTAAACCCTAGTCCTTGCTAAGTAGGAGGCAAAAACCCTACATTACTGCTAAGCTGCCTTGGATTCTGCGCAAGACGGAAGCCGAACGCTTCGCCGAGAGCCCTGCAGAGGTGGCACAGGCCCGGGGCAAAACAGTCCTAGGTCAAGGGCTACTTAACGGGATCTGCAAGGGTTAGCTATAGGGGAAAATGTGAAAAGTTTGGAGATAATGGGTTCAAGTTTAGGGGCTTAGGGTTTAGGGTTAAGTATTACTTAAAGGGATGTATAAGGGCTACACTATGCGGGTCAGGGGTTGAAGGGTTCAGGAATGTTTAGGGTTTTCGGGTTTTGGGTTAAGGTTTCAGTACGATGCAGTGTGCCCGTGTTTTCACAGAGCAGTTCTTGAAATGGCATAAGGCATAGGATAGTAGAAAGATAGTGCACAGAAAGGACATGGAAGGACCCTGTGTGAGAAGCCCTGCGCATTCAGGGAGCCGAATGCATTGAATTTATCTTACTTGTTCCACAATGCCCGTGCTCGATGAAAATGATTGGAGCTACGACGGCATCTCCGCGAATTTCTGAACATCCGAACTTAGAGCAACTCGCGCCCAAAACTGAAGGCTGCTGCTGCCGATGCTACGGCTACTGCTGCTGCTCTGACACGGCATCATGGGATTGATGATAACGACCGAGATCATGGCTTACTCGCGATAGTGATGGCGATGATGGCGATCTCGGCAGTGGCACTGTTGGTGGTGAGTTTCTTGGCGGTGGGAAGTGCAGATCATTAAGAAGATGCTGATTCTGTGACGCTGGTGATCATCGACCATGGTATGACGATGCCGCCTCAGGCAGTGGCCGTGGTCGTGTTGGGGATGATCGGGTGCTGATGATGATGCTTGTTATGCTGGTGACCCGTGCAGTGATGATAGTGACGGTAGTGTTGGCAAATTTGGCAACGATGGATCATGACATACCGTAACACATGGAGGTCAGCATTTCTTACTTTCTCGACTTTCCTTTGACGAAGGTACACTGGAAAGAATCCCTTTCTTGTCCAAACTAGCACAGGAAGTCCACGACCGCGTAGTGCTGCTCTTCCTCTCGAGCTACCCGCTTTGGGTCGTTGCCCGTGCGCTGCTTAGACGGTCATGCCAAGGGATGGAAGCTTTCGGTCTTTTGCCTAGGGTTTAGGGTGGTGGGTTTAGGAAAGCCCCGCATGAAGAGAAGAGAAGCTTCGGAAAATCTGCGACCCAAGTATTAATAGAGACTTCAAGGAATAGGATCAGTCACGTGTCACGTGCTCTGCCATAAGCGCCGGAGTCTGGAGCTTGGCTGGAGGGATTCAGGGCTTGTTGCATTGCAGTCCCTGCTCAAAAAACTCGCAAGCACCCGTGACCCCTGTTTCTGTTCAGCCACCAGGAAACGGTTCTCAGCGCGCTGGAGTAGATTTCGCGATGGCACGGGCGATCTAGGAGTGAGCCTTTTCACAGCTGCCTGTCCCAAGAAAGCCCCTATTATAGGACCCTATAGGGGTCCATTTGCATGTGTATAGTGGGTTGCTGTTCCGCAAACCCAGCAGCCATACAGTACCCACAACTCTACAACTTTCCATATAGGTAGCTGGGCTCTTGTACGGAACCTCGACATGCACGCGCACCTAGCCGCCACCCGGATGAACGGACAGACGGACACACACACACACACACAGACGGACGGACGGACGGATGCACGCACACTCGCTCGCAAGCACGCACGCATGTAGAAAGTTTAACTCGGAAGACGCACCGAACAATTGCTCTTCACAAACCATAGAAACCCTAGCTAGTCGATAAACCCTAAACCAACCCGAGGTTGGGGCATCGGGTTTCCGATTCTTTCCGGCACCGGGCTCAGCCAGGGTTTAGGAGCTTAGGATGTAGCGCGGGAGCTTTGATTCATGATAAGAATCGTTTCCTCCAAGGACCGAGCATTGCGCCCATATTAGGCTGTAGTGCGAACACCGTCAGGAAGCCAGCCTAGTGGCTTCGGGTTTCGTTTGAGGGCTTCTGCGATGGAAGGGAATGACAGCCATGTTGAAATGCTTAAAGAGCGGCCAATATGTAATGGATACTTTGGGTGTTACCGGGACCCACATTTGTTCCCTCGCCTGCTGCAGTTTCAGAGCAATGAGTGATCTTCGAACCCACCATTTAGAGCCAGCAGTGCTTCAACAGCGGTAATGCTTCAGTCCTCTTGTAGTCCGCACAAATCCACGCACAAGCAGAAAGATTGCCTAGGTGCGCTCTCTTGCGCCCAGTGGCGGGAGAAAGTTCTGAATCCTCCAGTGAAGGCCGTCCTTCACGGGGAGAACCCAGAGAGCCCAATACCCCTTAATTAACTGGGTTCCCGAGTAGTACCCTTTTGCCCTTTTTATTTTGGGGTCTCCTTATTAAAACCCAACTATAGGAAAAAGGGCACCCTTAGTATTCCGGGGTCACTCAGCAACCTAGTTAAGGTATATACCTTAAATCATAATATTAAGGCCCCTATAATTTAAAGCATATTCCTTATTTAAGGGGTATTGAGCTCTCTGGGAAATTGTGGTGTGTCAGGGATGACCTTCCGCTCTGAGAATAGATGAGCTTAGATCGCAGAGCAAAGCGTGGCGCTTCAACTGGATATATGGAAGTTTCCGAAATTTAGGGTACCTTATTTTGGGGTACTTATAATAAGGATCCTACTATTTAGGGCACTATATGAGGGTCCCCTATTTTCGGAAACCCCCATATCTGGATCCTCGATCCGGGTTCCAGATTCCGGAATCGAAACCTGCAGCCTCCGTACGACTCGAATACAAGTGGCTTCACACCTTCTGCGTCGGCAACCTAAACGAACGGCTCCAAAGGGGTGAGAGGGATGCCACTGGATAGGGTTTTCTTTCTCAAGCTGGCTCCTGCCATAGTTCGTACTGTTTAATCCTATTAACTACACGCCAAGGTGATTCCTTAGAGATCTTTATTGTAGTCGTAGTAGAGTTCCGACTTCTGTCTGCGCACACACACACACACACACACCCCAAAACCCTATTCCAGTAATTAGGGCTCCTTTACCCGTATTTCCGGTAGCTCTATATGGACAGCTTCGGAGCCCACATGTTGAAACGCGTGTTTCCGTAGCGTGAAACGTTAGTTCTGCGATTCCTCGATGTCACATCATCTATTCCAGTATCAAAGAGCCCGAGCATATGCTTTGTTCACCGCCCCCGACATGGCGCGGAAACTAAAAGAAAAATGGTCCCTGACAGACGGTGGACTTTGCTGGTGAGCTAAACCATGAACATTTAAGCCCATGCCCCAGCCGCAGCGGTACGTTGACGAGGCCAGTTTGATGGCTCTTCCTCTTGGTCTCGCCACCTTGCTGACATAAATTCCCTCAGAGCCCTGCTAATTAGGTGTTCGGGAGTGCTTATCGGGTATCCAGCGTTTACTAGCAGCTTTCAAACAGGGTTCTTTGTCAAGTACAGGAATTTTAGCCCATTTCAGTCAGGCACTTTTAGAAATGCACACCCTGCCAGCGAAAAGAATCTGCGCTTAGAGGATCACTGCTTCGGGCTAAGCGGGGCTCTATTTGTAACTTGACTGAGCTTGCAGCACTTCTAGGCTTACTCACTTTAGCCGTACTTGTACCCTACTTGCTCCCGTCGCCTATGATTTTTCCTCAGTCCTCAGACAACGTGAGATACAACGAAAGCTCTGCTCGTGGATTCCTCTATCGGACTCATTCGGCTACACCCAGAAAAGGCGATGATTCGAACTTACTGGTGGGGTCCGGGTAAACCCAAAACCCTAAAGAGTCTTATGTCTTATGATTACCTGCCATGCCAGGGGAAAGAAACAGTCTTATGATTCTTATATGCCCTGCATTGCGGGCTTCGTGCTAGCTAGGTGGGAGGCAGAAAGACGGTCTTACACTCCAAGGTCTACCACCTCCAAGACGCTGGCCCTGCTTGGGCTTGGGAAGCAGTGGCAGAGTCGCTAAAGCCAGCCGAAGCCTCGGGGTTTAGGGTCTATAGGGTTCAGGGTTTAGGGTTCAGGGTTTAGGGTTCAGGGTTTAGGCTTTAGGCTTTAGGGTTCAGGGTTGAGGGTTTAGGGAGAAGCCTTCAGAGGAACATTCCGCGTCTTTCGGGTTTGGCGTCTTTGCTCTACCTTAAACCCCAAGTAGTCTACTTTTTCAGGACTTATAGAAGGACATCAGACATTGGAAAACCTTGAGTTTAGGTTTCCTGTCGGGGTTTGAGGTTTATTGGGAGTCAGGTTTAGAGGGGGTTTCCATTTTGAGACTGTAGGGTTTCTGGAGCGTTGGATTTCTTGCTTAGGGCTTATAGGGTTTAGGGCTGCATAAATCTGCTGCAGCTTGCACTGACTTCTTCTTGACTTGGGTACCAGAAACCCGAAACCAAAACCCTGTAATTAATCGGAAAGGAGCCTTGAGACGACCTCTAGCGCGAGCAAGGGCAAGGACAGAACCTACTTAGGAGATAGCAGAAGTATAAGAATAGAAGCAGCTGTACTGCCGAATGCACATGCGGCAGCTCTATGAACTGCAAGCCTCTGTCGGCTTATGAGCTAGAGGCATTTGTGTTAAGACGTGCTCGTACGTAGAGTCGGGAGGCCATCATACTGGTCAGAAAACCTTAACCCTCCAGGTACCTACTATATAGGGCCCTAGGGGCTCTCGTACCCTATATAGTAGGTACCTCGGGGGTTAGGGAAAGGTGCGCAGCGAAGCTCGTCATTACCCATAAGGCACGGTAAGGGGCTTCCGAGACTTGCAGTTGCATAGACGGTTTATGGTTTAGGGGTTTAGGGTTTAGGGTTTAGGGTGTAGGGTTTAGGGTTTAGGTATGGTACATAGGTTGCATGTTGCTTTCTATTTGGTCCTGAAAAGCTTCGCAGTAAGGCCGTCAAAGCGCTGGAGTACGCTGGACGATGCACTGTGCCATTGCTTCTAATGGGGCTGGGCGCGAAGGCCGCGGCAGAATATGTTTTGCTTGTTTTTGTTGGGAGAAGGGAAGGCCAGGCAAATCGCAGTTGAGATGTTCTACGTAATTACTATTACTATTTGGGGGGTTCCTTATTATAGTTATAGTAGAATATAGCAGAATATACCCCAAAGGAGGTTAGGGATGAACTCCACGACGCGCAGCCCAAAAGGCAAGCTTGAGCCTGGGAAGTCATGCTGTCAGTTACGTGCCCTAAAGCCCTGACCACAAGTAAGGGTCCAAGTACCTAACAGTCATATACTCTCCCAAATAATAACCTACATAACTACTATCCGAAACCTAAGTACCTAATTATTGGGTCCTTTGCACCCCCAGGGTAAACCCTAGAGCCCTAAAGCCTAAACCCTCAACACCAAACCTCGTGGGGCTGAGGGTTCGGAATCTGGGACCAGTAGCGACCCGGTAAGCGGACGAAGCCATAGGCTCAGAGTTAAGGGTTAAGGGTACACGGTTTACGGTTTAGGACTTAAGGTTAGGGGTTCAGGGCTTAGGGTATAGGGTTTAGGGTCAATTGTTTAGGAATTAGGGTTTAGCCTTACCACCGCCTAAACCCTAAACCCTAGTCTGGATCCTCGCCTGGCTTGTCCGAGTTGTGAGAGTGTAAACCCTAGTCTGGGCCAAGTCCCCAAACCAAAAGACCCTTACCAGTAGATGTTTCTTTTTCTGTGTCGCCCCCGTGGGTTTGGGTAATATAGAAGCCTGAATAGTTAATTACCAATATATTCCTTAGGCTTCCTTATTAAAGTTATACTACAAGGGAGTCCAAAATGCTATTCTGATTATCGGTAGGTTCAGTTTGCGTTTATCGACTCGTTTTTGGGACATCTTGTTGCTGCAGATAGACGGCAGCTTCAACGAAGTTCGCAAAGCGCCTCCTTCGACAGGTGGGTGCCGCTCCTAACTATAACCCTATAATTTATAACCCTAACCCCCAAACCCGTAAACGCTAAAACCCGATAGGATTTGAAGGTTCCGATCACTGACGGTTTAGGGTTTAGGGTTTTTAACTTCTTCGGCCTGCGGCGCTAGGTTTTCCAGCACTTCTTATCGGGCCAGAGGTTGACGATTCAGGGCTGCAGGGTTCAGAGATTTAATATAGGGGCCTTAATAATTGGAATAGGGTTTGGGGGGTAGATTATACCATAGTTATAATAAGGAACCCCCCGGAATAGTAGACTAATTATGTAGACCCCGATATTAACTTGGGCTGGAGTTGAACAGACCTGGTGGTTCGATTTGGGGTTCAGGGTTTGGTACTATGATTCCTTCGGGCTCCTGTTGTGTAGTTATAGTCGTATTTTAGAGCCATATTCTGATGATGGAGTAAGCCATTGCGTTACTTCGTGTTGCGTTTGCGGGCCTAGAGGCTGACGGCAGCCCAGTTCCAAAAAGATTCCCCCTGCTTGCAGGGACCCTGTGTGGACGTCATAATTGGTAACAACTTCCTCGATAGCCCAGGAGAGTCCATAAAAAACTCTACTGTGGTGTATAATTTAGGAACCTGATTAAGAAACCCTGGGTCTGTATTAGGGGTCTTAATGTGGATCCTAATATATTGGGGTTATAGGGCCAGGGTTTCTCAATCAGGTTCCTACATTATCCCCAAAGCCCGGACCCCACTCTGATTCCTTAGTTTCCTATATCAGTGAATGGACAGGATCCCAGCACAACTGTCGCCAGGATACCAGAAGCTTGAGACACCTACAGCACCACCGACAACCATCAAGCATCCCGGCAACATCGGGCTTTGGGTGATCTACTGCACATCCTGATCAGTAATCACCACTGACCTGTAACTAAGCTTTCGTCAGTTCGGCCCTTCGAGTTTCAAGTTCCCAGTAACCAAATGCAACTGTGACTGGTAATGGTTCTTACAAATGATACTTGCTAGGAGCTTCAAAGCGTGGTGTCATGAACGTGCTAAAGCATGCACTAGCAGTCATAGCAAAGACGAAATAAAACTGAGAGTCAGAAAGGAAGCGGTAAGACTCAGAGCAAGGATTGGTGCTGCCCAAGAGCCGAGCGATGCAGATGCAGGCTCGCCTGCACTTCGTGGGATGTTGCGAGGGTTTCCTGGCACAGGGTTTCAGGGCTTGAAGGTTGTGAAAAAAGAGGTTACAGGGGTTGGCTGAAGGGTTTCAGGGCTTAGTGCATTGCCGTCCCTGCGAAGATAAAGGGGTTATAGGGGTTGTCATGAACACCACACATTGTGTTAATTTTCTAGCTCTTCTCCTCTTTCAATGTATCCGTTCGTGAGTGAATGTAATCTAGTACCCGCCAAGCACAGCCAAGCGCTGCATGTTGTGCCCTCCCCTCAAATCGAACTGCCCTTGCAATACAGAGCCTGAACAGTCTGTAATCAAAGCCCCTTTCGTCACTTGTGCCCCGATATAGTAAACTCATCAACACCCCAAAACCTCCTCCGAAAAGTCTGATACCTTGCAGCCAGAGGGATACTCTTGGAAACACTTGAATGAACGTTCTTCAGCCCCAGCACTGCGTACCCTTTTGCAATTTGGGGGGGCCCATGAAACAGTAGGGGCCTCAATAGTTACCTATACTATACTGGGGGTTCCTTAGTATAATTATAGTATCATGGGCCCGAAAATCCTCTTCTAATTATTAAGGCCCCTGCATTAGCTGAAGTAGGGCTTCTCCTAATTTTGAAGCTACGGCTCCTGCAGGGGACGGGGAGAGCGGCACAAAGAATGCTGCCCCCACGACATCTCCCAGCAGCACCTGCTCCTCAGCTTTAAAGAGGCATTAGCGCACCAGGTGCCGTCCGAGGCTCGACCATTCGGCCGTTGCCAGTTGAGTTTATGCTTCTGTTTGGATTTGCCTGTAGGGATTCAGGGGAGGTTTAAGGCATATTAATTAGAGACGTCTGGATGCTTATCCTCCTGCAGAAACAGTGGGAAAGGGCGGCCTGCCTGTCGAGCAATGCAGGCTCAAGCCCAAGCGTTTTATACAGCCTTATAATAAACTTACGTTTCCCATCGAGACCTCCTGAGTTTCTTTAATCGTAGACTGATCGAAAATTGGTTTTAGGCTTTAGGGATAGGGCTTTATAAGGGCTGTACTGGAGACCCATGGAAAATAGGGAAGGACAGAACACAAACATTCCGGGTCTCAGCTTCTTCGTCGAGAAGAGCAGTGATGCAAGTGTCGCTATTGTACCCTTGAGCTGAGCCAATAGCGCATCCATCTCACATGCAAACAGCAAGGTGTCACAAGAAAGTCTTTTACTTAATCCACCTTGATCCGGCATGTGGCGCTGCGGGCTTGGCTGTTATAAGCCGTTACACCTTTGTCATTCTCATGTGTTCGACACGATATGCTGGAAAGACCAGTTACCGCGGGTCTCACTACTACTTTCTAAGAACTCCCCAGCAGAGAAGCCTGTGAAGCTCTGCAATTCGAGTCAGGCCCGCCGCCTCTTCCGCGGTCGGCGTTGCTCGCGGTGATGATGCTACGTCGCGTAAGCTGCAGGCAGAAAGAAAGAGACAGCGACACTTCTGCGAAGCACAGTTAATACGCATTTTCCCCATAGTAGTTGCTTTTGGGGATTACCTAATAGGATCCTAAATACAAACCACAAAAAGGAACAACTATGGGGCTTATGGGGAGTTTCATCTGAAGGCCTTGTGCAAAAGAGCAGAAGAACCAAGTTGCGAAGAACCATGGTCCGACTCTCGCTAGAGACAAGGATAGAAGTTCACGTGAAGAGAGTCCATACAATCCCTCGCTGATGACACTACTCTTACCCTATACTATGCCACAGTAAACTGTCATGAAGCGGCTCCGACAAGGCCCGCGACTGATAATAATGTAGGGGACTTAATAATTAGAATCGGGTTTTGGGGTTCTTTATAGTATAATTTTCATGAGGAGCCACCAAAAGAGTATTGGTAATTATTTGGGTTAGGCCCCTATATTGGAAACCTGAACAGTTACCCATACTAATTCCGTTTCGTTCCTTCTTATACTTACAGTCTTCTTTTATTTACAACTTAACAATATAATATGACCCAAAGCTTTCTTCCTTTGAATAGCTACCAATACCAATTCCGTTGTGTTCCTTATTCTGCAGCTTTCTTCTTTTGAATACGGCTTAATCCCTGCGTTCGATGTGTGGGCAAGGTCAATTTTTGGGACCTTTGCTGGGCCTTGGACTGGCACCTCAGCGGCGCCCGGTGTAGTCCAAGGGATGTAGGGAAACCTGAACCACAAGAGCCTCAAGCCCCACGTTTTTGTGGAGAGCCACAGAGGGCCCCAGAATTTAGGGAACCCCCGAACCAGAAATTCCTGCATTTTAGTGAACCCTAGCTTGTGCTTTGAGGTGCTGGGTGATAAATGGGATTTCTTAGTTTCTTCTGCGTATACTGCGTGGAGTCTGCTACCGGGAAGGGTCCAAAGGACCAGATAATTAGGCACATTACCATGCTAGATCAGTATTGGGGAGCTATATGATGAATTATGAGGTACTTGGACCCTTAGGGTTAGGCTTCAGGCATTGACATTTCAGTGTGTTCACGTATCTTCCAAAGGCCTCCAAGGCTCGTGAGATGCACTGCGCAGCCCCGAAGTGCGGGATGCATACAAGCATCATACAAGCAATCGCCGAAACTTACGTAGTACTATGTAGTGTAGTCTAGTCTAGACATCTGCATGTAGAAGAAGGGCAAACCTCCGTACTGAAAAGCCACGCCTCTGAATCCTATGCCCTAAGCCGTAAACCCTACATCCTGCACCTTGTGTCCTAAACCCTTAACGGCTTCGGGCTTCAAGCTCACGTAGGATACAGACATGCACACACACATATGTATACATGTGTATACATATACATATATATATATATAAAAGATATATGTACACACACATACGTATGTACATATGTATCTATGGTTGTACGTATGTATGTATGTATGTATGTATGTATGTATGTATGTATGTATGTATGTATGTTGTATGTATTGTATTGTACTGTATTGTATTGTACGTATGTATGCATGTATGCATGTATGTATGCATGTATGTATGTATGTACGTATGTATGTGTGTATGTTATGCTATGTTAGGCAAGGTAATGTAATGTATAGTAATGTATGTATGCATGTATGTATGTCTGTATACGTGTATGTATGATGTATGTAAGCAAGTATGTATGCATGTATGTATGCATGTGTATGTCTGTATGCATGCATGTATGTATGTTTGTATGTATGTTTGTTTGTATGTATGTTTACATGTAAACATGTAAACATGTATATACATATATACACACTTGTATATTCTTCATGGTAGGTTTGTGTGTTTATGTGGTGGATATGGTTTCATGGTTTATATGATTCACAGATGTCTTACATTTCTTGCTCGTTTACATGCATGTGACCTTTAATGCACCGGTAGAGCTGTACAGCAGTGCATTTGCAGAAAGTCCGAGGTATTTGTTTTGAAGAAGTTGTTCGGTGTGGCGGACCGTCTCGTCCTCATGATCCCCGGCAGGGGAAAGGATTTGATATTTTAGTAGTAGATAAAAGCATTGAATAAACAGGAAGGCAAGTAAACCCCAGACCCTAAAACACGCGAGGTTTATTGAGCACTTTCTTTCCCACCTTGCTTGGGAAGAAGCCGGTGTGCAGGCCTGACCTAGCAGTGCCATAGGACTCGAAGCCTACGCCACCACACGCTCAAAACCCTGAAACTTAGGGTTGGGGCTCAGGGTGTAGGGTTTCGACTTCGGGGACCAACAAACTCCGAACTTTCGTCAAGGTCACTCTTGGGGCTCGCAAGGCAGTCGGGGTAAGTGAGTTCGGGTTTGGTGTCAGGCAAACAGAGCACTTGCGCGAAGCCCTTGCCTTAATGATCGGACAAATCTGGCCACCACTTTGAGGGATTTTTT